ATGTCTTAACATGCCAATACATTAAAATGTATGAATTGCTCAAAGAAAACGAGATAAAGAACGCGATTTAAAAGTCCTCGTTGACCTTTCACTGTATGCTTATTTTTATAAATGAGATTCAATTCCAAACGTGGCATACTATAAAATGTCATTGCAAATACCCATCGAAGTGATGATGATGGATATTAGTAAGTGGGGGTTTTTGTTCCCCAAGCTTTCGAGCACTGCAGCCTTCTTGTTTCTTGTACTTTCCGTGTTCTTTTTGTGCAATCGACTCGATCCTTATTTTTAGGAGTACTAAATCATTGACTGTGTATCCCAGTTTATGTCACTATTGAGTTGTTGCTTCACATTTGAAGATGATATGGGTGGCTGTTTTTTCATCCTCAATACATAAGCTACAAGTTGGGTCATCATTGAGTAGGCCCATGTTGTGCAGATGTTTTCTCAGCTGTCAGAGGCCAGTACATAGTCCTATCGATCCTCTGAATTTAGCCCTCTCTAACTATTTTACTGTGACGTTTGCCAGGCTTTGTGAAGGTAGTTGTAGAATAAGCTGTGTCTAGCACTGGTAGAGTGTATCCTCTTTTTGCTCTTTTTTATCCGTTCTGCAATGGAGGATTCTGTGTTTGGTTTTGTTATCCCAAGAATATGTTCAGTGCCTACAAATGGTCATGCAGATCTTCTTGCCAATGTGTGTGATTTTCGTTACCTAAAATTCCCTTGTATCCCGGTACCCACGATACCATCAGATTGCTCTTTCCCCAGTTTTTGGATATTTAGTATGCAATCACTGTCTAATCTTGATGTGAGTGAGCTAATGCTTCATCGATCATTCATTGTCAGTTTTATTCCCAGCAACTATTACAATAAATTTTAATGATTGCCCTGCCCGAGGACATGAACAAATAGTAAAAGTACATAGTTAAAAACAATTATTCAGAATCGTGAGATGCGGTCAGGTGCGATGTAGGTTTCAGAAAAACATTTTCTTTATCGTGCCAACGTTTCGATCTTTATTGAGATCATTTTCAGGCCTCAAAGTGTTTGTCTTCTGTGGAATTGTGCCATTCTTGCGTGTCGTGAAAATGTTTTTCTGAAACCTACATCACACCAGACCGATCTCACGATTTCTAAATAATTATCGATTAACGGTCACTAATAACCACACATAGTTAAAAACCTAAAAATTGTACAAAACTTGAGCTACAAGTTGTTTGTCTTTCCTGTTCGCTTATTTTCCCTCGAACAAACAACGATTCTAAAAAAAACTATATATATAAGAGCAAAGGGTGATGGAATAATATCGCGTACTCCACCACCGTAACTAACTGTAAGTGAATGGTATGTCAATAAGAAAGAATGTACTTAAGAATGATGGTGTGAATGGGTTTGGATCTAGGAAATGCATGCGTTAGGTGCTGACTTGACCTAGCTGTTGACAGCACTCGGAGCTCAACCTCGGTGGCTGGACTAATAAGAAGCTGCAAGGCATGACAGGCTCTGTAAGTATGTATATATGTACATACATGTGCAGATTTGAGCTTATATAAATCCAAAATCCTAAACACTTTACAGAACTTTCAGTTTAAAATATTGAGTTATATTGTGTAATTTCTCTCAATAATACTCAAATGGCTGGCCAGTTTAAGAATAAAGTATATATNTATATATATAAACATTTATTTGAATTTGAATTTCTTTAGGAGGGATAAAATGTTAAATGAATTATTGAAGTACAATTTTGGATTGTGCATAAGTCAACATGTCATAAATTTGATCAAACATTTACCTAAGAGATTTATCATCGTGGTTTGGTTTCAATTGATTGAATCGGGAAAATATGTAATATCCCTTTTGATGACTTGAAAAAGAACAGCACATGAAAAATTACGTAAATATTTGAACTTTCAAGTCAGAAAAAGTGTCGTTTCACAAGGTTTGCTTAGAATGATTCAGATATATAAAGACTGTAAATTAATAACTAATAACTTGTATTAATTATTTTGTCATAACGTACACTCACATATTTTCAAATGGCAACTGTCCAGTAAAAAATATGTATCCCTACTACAGACTAACGAAGATTAAAGATCATAAACCAATAACATGAAGTAATTATGCAATTTTTTTCAATTATTCCATTCAAATGTCTAACAAGAAAGCATTCAAATTTTACAGAAAGATTTGATAAAACTTTTCAATCAGGTCCTAGTTTCTCGCTTTTTGATAATTAGAACTCGAAAAATACATAATTTAAACTTTAACATATTCTTGAAACAAACATTCTTGAAATAAATTTTATGTCGCCAAGTACAATCATTTCGATACACTCAAATGATCTGTTTAATATAAAAAGATTTTCAAAAGTATCTGATTACATAAACATTCCTTAGAATTTCCTTCGATCAGATAAAACTTAGTTATTATATAATCGGTGTTTTTAAAAGCACCTTACCTTCCAATAATCCAGACCCCAGATATATATATCATAGACGTACTTCAATTTAAAAAAATATCATTCCTTGCATTATTTCATTAAAAATATCCCTCGTATATTATAATATTTTACAATATTTGAACTGTCTAGTAAATAATATGCAATGTATAACAAATGAATTTTACAAACTTGTCAATCTGAAAAACTATTTTTTTAAATAATTTTAAAATAATAACAAAGTAATTGTGCGTTCAATAATTCCGAAACAATCAAATGACCTACTTACTAAAAACACCTTAAAAGGTTTCATAAAGATTTGACAGACCTTTCGATCAGGAAAATATTCGTTTTACGAGTTTTGTAAAATATAACTCGAATTAAATATTTTAATTATTGTATAATCAAGTTAAAAGATACATTCAAATTCTTCAACAAAACACTATAAAAATAATATTAAAAAATTGCCTAAATATTTTACAGAACTTTCATATTTAAATATTGGCTTGTATATAATTAATTTTTACATTATTTCGTTCCATAATCCCCATAACTATTAACTCACATACCTTCAAATACTTAACTGTCCAATAAAAAATATACAAGTACTTCAAATAAAAAAATAAAATGCCTCGTTATTTCATAAATAAATTCCTAGTATTATTCGAACCGTCAAATAAATAATATATAATACTGTGAAACATTTCAAACTAATAACTTGTATTAAATATTAATTATGTCATCACATTCAATAACTCTACCTTCAAATGTCCTGACTGTCCAATAAAAAATACACACCTAGTTCAAGTAAAAAATCAAATTCTTTACGTTATTTTATAAGTAAATTTCTACTATATTCGAATATTTGAACTGTCTAATAAATAATATATAATATTTTTCAAACGACAATTTGTAGTAATTATTATGTCATAACGTTCAATAACTCATGACGTAACCGACCAATAAAAAATATATACACTCCAACTTTAGAATTTTCAAAAAAATCCTTTAGTTATTTTGGAAAAAATCTCCTAGTACATATTTTACAATACTACATATTTGAATGTTTGAAATGTTTAATAACAAAAATATATATTAAAGATGGTATCTTTTGAAGAACTGTTAATCTGAAGAACTTTTGTTTAAGATTTTGAACTAATTGCAGCATTTTTATGTAATAACGGTCAATAACTCTACCTTCAAATGACCTAACTGTCAAATAAAAAATATACACCTACCTCAAATAAAAAATCAATTTCTTTGAGTTATTTCTAATAAATAGATATTGTTTAGTCTAATAAAGAATACATAATACTTTGAAACATTTCTAACTAATAACTTGTATTATTATGTCTCAACGTTCAATAACCTGTACAAATGACCTAATTGCCCAACATAAAGTATACACCAACCTCAAATCAATCTTTTACAGAACTAGTCAATCTGGAAAACTTTTTTTCAAAAGATTTTAAACTTCAACTTGAATTAACTTTTTAACTTAAATTTTAAATAAGTAACTTGTATTAATTATTATGTCATAACGTTCAATAATTCAACTCGACTTCAAACGACCTTACTGTTCAATAAAAAGTATATACACTCCTACTTGGAATGAAAAAAAAAAATCCGTTATTTTAAAAAAATATCTCACTACAAATATTTGAATGTTTGAAATATATAATAATAATAATGCTTTATTTAACATTTCTACGTTTTACAATATTTTACAAGTTTTGTTTTGGTTTTTTATTAGTATGTTATTACGGCATGGAAAGACCGTCTGCCGGCAATAACTCGTGTATATATTAAAGAATAAATCTTTTACAGAACTGTCAAACTGAAAATCTTTTTTTTTAAGATTCTAAACGAATAACTTGTATTAATCATTATCATAACGTTCAATAACTTACAGACCTTCAAATGACCTAACCGTTCAATAAAAAAATATATATACTCTTAATTAGAATTTATAAAAAAATCCTTTAGTTATTTTGATGATCTTCTAGTACATATATTTGATTGTTTGAAATATCTAATAAATAATATATACTAAAGATAAATCTCTTACAGAACTGTCAATCTGAAAAACTTTTCTTTTTTTTTGGATTTTAAACCAATAACTTGTATTAATTATTATGTCATAACGTTCAATAACTCACATAAATTCAAACGACCTAACTCCATCAAAATTCTCTTTTCAATAATTACCTTAATAAATTAATTGTATCCATATTACCATTTGAACAATTAATGATTTTAAAATAATATTATTATAGAGATAATTATCGTTCAATAATTAAAAAAAAGTTTGTTGTTTTTAATGAGCGGATTCTTGAATTATCGATTGTGTATCGTTATGTATGGATTATAAATAATTAAAGAGGCCGAGGGTAAATGAGATAGGTGAAGTTAAAAACGTGAGAACTGTCAACCGGAGGCCTGTTCGAGATTCATCAGGGCGAGGTGGAAAGGTCCGTAGAGAGCCGAAGCTGAGACACGGGCGAGTGAGGAGCAAAAAAAGAAGAAAGTCCGAAAATGGTTAAAATAAAAAAAAAAGTCTCACCTCTTCCGCGAACTCGAAGTCGCCGTCGAACTTGCGTTTCCTTTTGGCGTCTGCAAGTCCCGCGGCGACGGCGAGGACGGCCAACGAAATCCAGACCAACTTCATTAGCAAATGGTCACGGTTCACGTGTGAAGAGTTAACAGGTCGTGGGACTGGGCCGAATCCCGATGGACGGTGGATGGTGCCGTTGGTGAGAGGCTAAACCGACGAGTGACGACTGCGACTGCGACTGCGGGCTGCGGCTGGCTCTCCGACTTCCGAATGGACAACCAACGCTGAAGCGGCGATGGGCGAGTGCGAGTGGTCGCGATGCGGCCCCGAGCGCCGAGATGGCAGCACCGGAGCCGCCGGGCGCAAGCCTACTCCGAAAATCAATGCTTTCACCCTTCAACACGACCCGACCGAATGAAAAAAAACAAAACAATATCCGACAAATCATTTCGACGACACAATCATCCAACAAATTGCAACCGACTTCAACCATTAATCCTATTTCACATATTAGAACTATCTCTGAAGATTTTAAAACCATTTCATGCATGTAGAGGATGTTTCAGCAGTGACAAAAGTACTCAAAAATAAAAACTTTTAGCATTTATCAAAAAAAGATTTAAAATTCATTCATATAATAAAAATTTTTAAAAATTTTATACATACATATAAAAAACATATTTTAAATGAATCAATCAACATTAAAAGTTGAATTTTAAAATATTTTGTAAATGTTAAAGAAAAACTTGTTAATAGAGATCTTTTTTCACAGTCAATAGAGTGACTGAGTGACGGGGAATGAATGTGAATCGTGTTATTCGAAAATTTACAAAAAGTTACAAATTACGAAAATTACAAAGAGAGAGCGAAAGAAAGAGAGAGAGAGAGAAAAGAAAGAGACGGAGAGAGAGTAATAGGGAAAGGAAGAGAGAAGAAATGAGAGGAAAAAGAGCGTGTGAAAGGGAAAGGCTGATAGGGAACTAAATAGCGAGAAAGAACAAATGAGAATGAGTGACAAAGAGGGGGGTACGAGGGAAAGAGAGTGAGAGGGAAAAGTTAATAGATAGAGGGAGTAAGAGAGAAAGAGAGAGGGAAAAGTAAATAGAGAGAACGAGAGAGAGAGAAAGAGAGAGGGAGGGAGAGAGAGAGAGGGAGAGAGAGAGAGGGAGAGAGAGGGAGGGAGGGAGAGATAGAGAGAGAGAGAGAGAGTGAGAGGGAAAAGTGCATAGATAGAAAGAGAGATTGAGAGGACAAAGTAAATAAGAAATAGAGGGAAAGAGAAAGAGAGATAGTCCAAGGGAGGGAGGGAGAAGGAGAGAGAGAGAGAGAGAGAGAGAGAGAGAGAGAGAAAGTCAGAGGAAAGGAGAGAGAGAGAGAGAGAGAGAGAGAGAGAGAGAGAGAGAGAGAGAGAGAGAGAGAGAGAGGAGGAGGAGGAGTGAGAGGGAAAATACATAGAAAGAGAGAAAGGTGGAAAAGTATATAGAGATAGAGAGACAGAGAGTGAGAGGGCAAAATAGGTAGAAAGAGAGGGAGAGAGAAAGAGAGATAGTCTAAGGGAGGGAGAGAGAGAGAGAGAGAGAGAGAGAGAGATAGATAGAGAGAGAGAGAGAGAGAGAAGGTGAGAGAGTAAGAGGAAAGGAGAGAGAGAGGAGGAGTGAGAGAGAAAATAGAAATTGAGGGGGAAAAGGGAAAGAGAGGGAGTGAAAAAGAGAATGGTGGGAAACATATAGATAAATAGACAGATAGATACAGAGAGTGAGAGAGTGATGGAGGGAGAAATGGATTGAGAGGTTCCCAAACAAAAAGCTTAAAAAAATAAATAAATAAAATGTTTTTCATCTCAAAAATTAAACAAATCATTTTAAACCATGCATTTATAAAATAGAGTATACTCATAATCACCACTGTAAAAGCAATAATATTGGTCGGAATGTTATGGATGAACATGCTTGTATGTTACTCCTTCACAAGTGATAAAAATCATTGAGCATTTTTAATTATTTCATCAATATAATGCGAATTTCAGGTTAAACAAGGTTGTATATTATGCTCTAGCTATTTGCTTTATTTATAGATGATTTATCAGATTATTGGGGGAGGGAGAAGTTGTTTATTGTTTATGTATGTGCCCTCAAAGACAACCATGAAAGATTCAGTAAAAAAACGTACTTAATTACCACTTAACTTTAATTTATTACTAATAATAAAGTAATTATATACATTACAGAAATATAACACAGATAATAAATCATTTTGAAGTTTGGTAACATGATGATGATGATGATGATGAATAATATTAGGAAGCAGTGTTTGTGCTCCCTAGGCTCTACAGACTTCTAGGCTATTATTCCTTTCTAGTTCCTTAGTTCAGTGCAATCGGCTCGTTCCTTCTCCTCAGAAATATTAAATAATTGACCATCACTGCTACAATTTCATTCCCTGGGTGTCGCTCCCCAATCAAAGATGTTAGAGAGCTGGTTCTCCCTCTTCATTGTATAAACTACAAATGGAGTCATCATTGAGTTGGACACCATGTTGAAGTTTTCTCAGATGTCAGTGTCCTGTAAATAGTCCTATCACTCCTCTGGGTTAGTCCTTTCTAATTGTAGCAGCGAGTTTGCCAGCCTTGGTTAGGGTTGTTTTAGCATAAGTTTACTGTGTCTAGAGCCCCTAGAGTATGTCGACTTCTCCTTTTGTATTTTTTGGATCCATTCTGTAATGGAAGATTATGCCATTGTTTATGTTATCCAAAGAATAGGTTCAGCACATATATATGGTCTTGCAGGTCCTTCTCAGGCCAGTGAGTGTGCTATTTCATTACTTAAAATTCCCTTGTGTCCTCGTTCCCACGATATCATCATATTGTTGTATTTCCCCAGGTTTTAGGGATTTGGGATGAGTTTACTGATTCGCTGACTAGAACTACATATAACATTTTTCCTTAAACTTTAATAACTAAAAGAATAGTAAGATTGCCTAAGTTAATAAAATATTTGTTTCTTTTTACAAAATGATGAAACAGATTAAATTTAATTAACATAAATTAATTCTAAAGATCAGTCATAGTATTTCTTTATATCTTAATATTAATTCAGATTTTGTATAATTCATCAACTTATAAGTTTAATTTCAAAAAATATTTAGTGTCGATTCTCAATCATTTATTATACAATCTGACAGAATTTTTCTGGTGTCGGAAGGAAACTGATTATCCACTGATCTATTTTCTTCTACGAATTTCTTCAGTGTGACTGCTTCACATTTGCTAGTCTTGTAGATATAAAGCCAATAATTTGTTATATTATTTTTAAAATCGACAATAGAAATAGGTTGTGGGCAGTCGTAATGTTTCTTCCTTACGACGTTGAAGCCTGGCCTGGTTAGACTCTCACAAACCAGACACTCAAACTCGTCTATTACACCCAAACCTTGTTCAGTCCAGTATTGTCTGAAATTCTTTTTAAGATTATCATTGATTATTTTACGTTGAATTTTGTGCTCGAAATGCGAGTCATAAGCCGTTTTGTTATTATTCAGGTATAAAAGATGTCTTGCTAATTCTTTGGGAGACTTAAAGTCAGATAGATAAATGACAGTGTTGTTATTTGGTAGCCAGTCCTAAAAGAAATATTTAGTTAAGTTTAAAATATGGTTCATTTTAAGAGAGTAAATTACATTGATAGAAGGAGAACCAATATAAATCGGTAATGAACCAGCAACTATTGGCCTCCATAACTTTTCAGTGATGTAATCCTCACATATTCCATTTTCAAATGCTATACTAAATTTGTATCTTGAAATAAATTCAATCAACTCAGAAGACAGAAAAGTTTTCATTGCATCTTGCAAACTGAAATAAACTTTATTTTGTATTTTGTTTATTATTTTATACTTCATACTGACCTGTCAGGAAGTTGTTTATTGTTTAAGCACTTTCCATATGAATCAATTTTAATATATTTCATCAATTCTTCTACATAAGTATTTCTATTTATAGGAGTTGAACAATCTGACTGAAGGTATATAACAGGTGCAAGAGTATTTTGAAACTCTGTCTTTTCCTCAAAAGTTTTATAATGGTTAACACCTACATAAAAGTTGTCCTAAATATTTTTTCTGTCTAATAAAGTTTTTAAACCCAAAATATAGTGCATTTTATTATTTATAAAGCTTACTTGTAATGTTGTCCAATGAGGGTAAAAACTGTAATGTAAGAGGTAGATCACTATATCGGCTAAACGTTGAAGATAAATTGAATAAGATCAGGGCTTCCTCATGAGAAAAAAGAGGGACATTTCTTGGGGACTCCTCATGGAAAAGTGCCCAAATTTTATCACCCCTCGGTAACGGGAGATCGCTCTGATTGAATGAGCTTCCATAAAATAAAAAAGCCTGGGAAAAAAATCGTTATGACAAATATTCCAACACTCCAGAAATAATTTTGTACGAGAATTATACTTTTGCATTTTCAAGATTGGCTGAACTTCTGTTTGCTGTGAATTTACAAACTGATGATTTGCATGTTTTAATTCTGTCAAGTGTAATGAACCTTGTCCACCAAATAATAGTGTTTGCTAATAAGTTTTAAAAAGAAATTTAACAACAAAAAATTAATAAATTCAATTTTAAATTAATACATACTTTCGTTGTTTGATAACTCTTTGCCTTGAAGTAATTTATTCTATAAAATAATTAAATAATTTTTTTAAATAAAATTGTATACAGACTTGTTTTGTAATGCTTACTCACATATAACAACAATTGTAAACAAATGTAGCAACCAACAAAACCTAAGCCAAATATTAAAATGTAACAAAGATTTAACTTAAATTGTCTTCTTTTTAGAAACATTGTGATCTGAGGACTGAGCTTACAATAGCGGTGATAAAACTCCTGATTTCCAGGAAGTGCTGATTTGGAATGGTCGAATGGCAGAAAGGGTTCCCATTTCCTTGGCTATATTCTAATCAGATGATAATAAAAAAATATAAAAGTTTGAATCATGTTTTTACTGATTGGATTTGAGAAATTCGACCCTAACATGTGCCTGATCGTTATTTTAACTTCGGACTGAACAGAATCAACGATACGAAGGTCATATCACCCCACCCTAGAGAAATCACATTAAATAATATAATACTAAATAGACCCATCATATTACATAATCTGAGCCATTTACTTACAAACAATCAAATAAAACTCTACTAAATACCCTATTTATTACTAAAAAAAAATCACTAAAATAATTTAATTTTTTAAGTAATAAAATTAAATATAATAAAAAACAAACAAAACATAAGACAGACAACATACCACCCTAAAGTGAAAACAAAATAGAATAAAAAGATTTTTAATAAAATTTACTTACATGTTGAAAGTAACATTAAATAATGAATCAAACAGTTTTGTATACATGGCTAAATCAAATCAACATTAACATCTACACAGAACAAATTTTTTTGTAGCAACACAATATTTTAAGTATCAGTAAAGCTTAACAGTAAAATATCTAGCAATATTTGACATTTGTCAATGTGCTGTGGGGTATTGTAAAAAATTAAAATATTGGATCCATTATAATGATTTGACTTATATTTTCAGATTCTGACATTCAGATTTCAGATACTTTCTAAAGATATTTGTTATTTAGATTAGTCATATAATGTTTCATTTGTTTTATTGTCATAATTTAAAACTTATCAATTTCATTTCTTTCCACAATAAATAAATTTTCATTTTAGAAAATGTCTTTATGACTGGCTCATGCAAGAATGACTATATTGTAGGCCAGAAAGAATGTGGAGATGTGATTCACAAATTAATTTCTGATATTTTATTAAAGAAAAACACACAGTAGTGAAAGTAGTTTAACAACTTTAAATGGAATTGAAAAAGGGCTATATTTGCCTGAAAATTTACTAATGGGACTGCATGATGTTTTCGGGTGGATCTACACAACATCCACTCCGAGAATCATCTTATTGTCTAGTAAATTCAAGTTTAAATGATTTATGGGACTGTGGGATTATAAGGACAATGAATGGGATCTCTTATAAAATTTAAAATTTGTTGATTATGTACATCATAATGCACAAATAAAATTATGTTAATTTACACAAATATAGGTGGTGGAGGAGAGAGAAAGGGAGTGGGGAGAGAGAGAGAGAGAGAGAGAGAGANTGAGGGAGGGAGGGAGAGAGAGAGAGAGAAAGAGAGAGAGAGATTGAGAAAAAGACAGATTCTAAATTAAGAACCAATCATAAGCTATCAGAAACAAAATTTATTGGATGTTTAAGGAAAGCAAATTAAATTCAGGCAAGGATACGTAAAATAAATTTTTATCAGTTTTTACTTACTAATTTTGTAGGAAATTTCCTTGTGAACAAAATGATATCATTAATTTATTGAATGATATTTATCGTGTATTTAAATTTTTTTTTTTAAATTATGCTGCCTCCTCGAACCATATGCTACATTGAAACCACAATAGATCCCTTGTACCTATATAAGCAGGAACTAAATTTTGGTTATAATCTTAAAGGTATTATTTACTCAGAATCTTCCCTACATTATTACAGCATCAAAATCAAGATTTGTTGGTTCTCTTTGCAGTTTAATGTGGAAAATAAGCCTCTGAGGAGAATGCAACTTAAAAACATCCTCAGCTCAATTAAGTGAAATTTAAGGGATCAATCTTTGCAGCGTGCACGAGAATCTGAACGGTTCTTGTTATATGGGTGTTCGACTACTCATGTTACAAACTTTGCGGGTAGATTCTACATTCTAAAAGGAACCAAAAAGTCCTAATTAACTATGGTCCTTATCTCAACAGTTTCGTTGTTATTTAAACTTTTTCTGGTTTTTTAAGATTTCACGACCTTGCTTCAATAAATAATGATAACTCAAAAACTAAAAAGTTTTGGACAAATCCGTTGATACCATTGAAAACTATGTTAAATTTCCAATAAGATGTAATCAATACTAAACTTGTAAACCCTCGTAAAATAAGAGTTTTAGTAGCGAGAACTTTCAAAAAAAAATTTTTCAAAGTTGATAAACTTACAATGGTGATTTTAAACTACTATTTCCAAACCTAGAGACCAGCAAATTTCAGAAAACGTAGTCCATTTAATATCTTTTTTAGTGGTGTAATTTCTTTTTTAATTACTTTTCCAAAGAAGAAGAAATTGATGAAGGAAAAGAAAAAACCGTGGTTGAAGGATTGGTACGGTGGAAAGATTAATAATAATAAAAAATAAAAGACTTAAGAAAATATTGAATAAATATTAAACTTTTTAATTTTTATTCGAAATGCTCTCCCCCTCCGTAATGTATTTTCGACGCGCTGTCGTCGCATTAAACCCGCAAAACCCGAACATAAGATGTATATCAACGTATATTAACTAAATAGATAGTGTTAGCAAGATATGACATAGATAACTAAAAACGTTTTGAATCTTTAAACTCTTTTTTTCCGGAGAATAATAATACAATAATTCTTTAATCAAAGTTGCAGTCGTGTTGGTAAATAAGTAAACACTTGCACTATTTCGGTTTCGAACCCAAATTAAAAAACGTTTAATAAATTCATTCAAAATTTCCGTTTTTTTTTTTTTTTTTTTTTTTTTTTTTTTTTTTTTTTTTTTTTTTTTTTTTTTTTTTTTTTTTTTTTTTTTTTTTTTTTTTTTTTTTTTTTTTTTTTTTTTTTTTTTTTTTTTTTTTTTTTTTTTTTTTTTTTTTTTTTTTTTTTTTTTTTTTTTTTTTTTTTTTTTTTTTTTTTTTTTTTTTTTTTTTTTTTTTTTTTTTTTTTTTTTTTTTTTTTTTTTTTTTTTTTTTTTTTTTTTTTTTTTTTTTTTTTTTTTTTTTTTTTTTTTTTTTTTTTTTTTTTTTTTTTTTTTTAAATTTTCCACCTTACGAATTCGTCAGCCACGGTTTTTTCCTTTCCTTCCTTTCCTCCATCAATTTCTTCATCTTTGAAAAAAGTAATTAAAAAATAAATTACACCACTAAAAAGGATATTAAATGGACTAAGTTTTCTGAAATTTTCTGGTCTCTAGGTTTGGAATAGTAGTTTAGAATCACCATTGTAAGTTTATCAAGTTTGAAAAAAAAATTTTTCAAAGCTCTCGCTACTAAAACGCTTATTTCACGAAGGTTTTCAAGTTTAGTATTGATCACATCTTATTGGAAATTTAACTTAGTTTTCAATGGTATCAACGGATTTGTCCAAAACTTTTTAATTTTTGAGATATCATTGTTTATTGAAGCAAGGTAGTGAACTCTTAAGAAATCAGAAGAAGTTGAAATAACTGTGGAGATTCGGACCATACTTAATTAGGACTTTCTGGTTCCTTTTTGAATGTAGAATCTACGGACAAAGTTTGTAACACAAGTAGTAGAACATTACTGGAGAAGAAAAATGAATTTGGGGTATTGTTTGTGTCGAATTCTGTTTTTGCTTTTCAGGTTAGGATGCGAGCTGATAAGATGCTTTGAATGGCGTTCCGATGGAGCGGCAGCGGGATCGTGACCCTTGTACTATATGCACTCAAGGAATAAGGGAGGGCATGTTTCACTTTCTCGCTATATGTTTTGCACACATAAGGTAAAATACTTTGGTAGTGATACGCTTGATGGCGGGATAGTTGTACGCATGTTGTTCTCCCACGACTGCCTTCCTACCCTTAGATTTGCTTATAGAGCCCCTCATATGTTATTACTTCTTTAATTATACTTTTTGTCTAAGGTCTTGGTTGAGATGAAAAAGTTGGTGTCACAAGCGGGATTCTTTATGTAAAGTATGGGTTGAGATACAAAATCAGTGTCACGAGCGGGATTCGAACCCTGCGAGTTGTGAGGAACGAATGTACACGCCCCACTAACATGAAATAAAGCGGTGGTGTTCACCGCTTTTGGAGGGGTGATTTTTGCAATAGATGCCACTGCAGCTGATTTAATCGCGATCATCTTTGAGACCCACAGGGTAATTTTAATGTCGTCTGTTTGCTAACCCGAGGTATGACACCGTATATGGCGCCCATATAAATTGTAAGAAGCTTCCACCTTCCATAGCCGGAGTTTGAGGGCGCCAGGTATCATCTGTATCTGGTACTTGGTAGGCATCTGTAAACACTACTTTTTTGGGAGTTCTGTTTTAGTTTTCTAAATTCTCAATGTGAATATCAACTCCTTGATATTTGCATAAATAATGGACCAACCTGGTCCTTCAAGAGAAGCAAAGGTCCAAATTTTTCCGAACACTTTTTAAATTTACTAAATGTACTCAGTGAGGAAGGAGCCGGTTTTGGCAATATTTATGATGATGAAGAGACCAAACTAACTATACCTTTGCTTTAGCGACATTTGTAGTCAAGGGGAAAACTGAAAAAAAAAATTTATGTACTGTTACAACTGTAAGATTTAATTATAATGGACAAAAGACTGATACGAATGATAGTGCTACACTAAGCATATGTACTTGATAAACTGAAAAATTATTTTGTAAATTTATTTTCAAGTTAATAAAAGTATTTTTCTAAATATTTATATCTTGAATTCTTCATCAGTCCCTCTAAATACCCAAGAATAATAAATATAAAATAAATTACACATGAAACTGAAAAATAGTGGTTTAAAAAAACCGGTAGTAAATCATCTTTTCTAATTCCTTCATTTTATTATCAACATTATTTTTCTCTGTAATTATATTGAATTAATATAATCGTATCACATGTAAAAAAAGGACAGGTTATAACATTTATTTTTTTTCTGCGGATTTATTTTTTTTCTGTGTATCCGTGTAAATGCTTTGTGTTCTACTTAAATCTTGTTTAAATTTGGCCGAGGAATCCGACGGATTACCATAAATGAAACGAGAAGGTGCCCCAATCCTATTGCGTAAACACGGAAAGCTGAGAACGAAATCTTCACTCCACAAAAGATCATTTAAAATCTTGCCAATGGTGAAAAATATATATTCCACGATGACGACAAAACCGTACACAGCTAACTTCTGCGGAAGGGTGAAATGTTTTAGGAAAGGGATCGCCCACACTCTTGTGAAATGGTAAATGATATGAAGCCATATCAAGTACAAAAATGATAAAATACATATCGTGCAAAATGCAATAATCATGTTGGCAGAATCACCCTTGCAGCTGAAAACGTCACATATTAAAATAAAGGGAGGCGACGTGTATAAGAAATGGCGTAGCCAAGACGGATAATTAGGTATCCCCAGTAATTCGATATTTTGTATATACAGCCCCCAGTACGTGATGCCGTTTAATATTCCAACTGGTATAGCGATGGCCGATCTGATGAACGACCTCACAGCAATCAATCTGGGCGGAGCATCCCCAGTATTCGAACAATTTATCATAATATCAACGATGAGTGCGATGAGGTGATATATGAATTGGAATATTGCATTCAACGAACTCACATATTTTAAGGAATATCCGAATTTTAAGAAAGCGTTTTGATTCGGTTCCATTATGTCGTAGTAAAAGCGTACAGACAATCCTACTGACGAAGTGAGGAAGCCAACGATATGGACAACTGTGGATACGATGAGAAAGCAAAATGTATGTCTCCTTTCGCAAAAGACCTCCATTTAGTCCATAAACGTCAATACAATGATTTTCAGTAGACACCTTGTTCCATCCCTGTTGTAAGTTAGCGTTGTTTAACGGCACTGGAAGTTGCCAAATATCTAAAGTTTTATGTTTAAAAAATTTCACATCAACTAACGTATTTTGTTTAAACACATGATTAACTAATTGTCCAACCTTCATTTTATTAAGTCGATCTGATGTAGTTCAGTCAGTAAACAAATTAATTGATAGTTTAATCATTTTAGATGGTAACAAGTTTTTATAAATTTTGAGACGATCTAATTATTTGCGTGTTGGATGGCTTTATTTTCGAAAAAGTCAACAAAACTTTACATAGAGGACGAACAGCACTATGAATACAATACAGTCAATGCATCAATACATATTACTAGAAAGAAAAAAACAACCTTAAGAGTCTTGAGTTCTATACGTAATAAGGGTCTATTTTCCGGGTACTTGACAACTCGTTTTTAGGCTGGCTAGGGAAATTTTCTTTTGCGTGAATATTTTCACGTTACCGGGGAATGCGTATGGGTGGATTACGAACGGGTAGGGTAGGGTTTGGTAGGATTAAATAGGTAGGTTCGATGGTATGGATAAGGCTAGGCTAGGTTGTGTTAGGTAATGTGTTCGAATGGGTTAGGGTTAGGGATCGGTTAGGTTAGGTTGTGTTAGGTAATTGGTTCGGTTGGAATAGGGTTAGGGACTGGCGAGGTTAGGTAACGTTAGGGTTTGGGAAATATTAAGTTAAGAAAAAGGCTGGAGTTATGTTTAGGGTTAGAAAATAGTATATCATGCACAATTACAAATTGAGATGAAAAAATTTATTAAGGGTGGGGCTCGAACCCATAGTCTTTGGATCAGTACTCGGCCGCTTTATCATTGGGCCACTGTGACTTTGTCCCTGAAAGCACATCTGATAAAAACCTGAACTTCAACCTTTTAGTTAAGTTAGATTAGGTAGGGTTAAAGTAAGGGATCGTGTTGAGGATTCGGTTCGGTTCGGATTATTAGCGGAATTTACTTAACTAAGTGGACTGAATTTTCGGCTGCGACCACTTGCTTCACATCTGAAGGGATGAAAGATACTCGTGTTTCCAGCGTTTCCCAAAATGCTCTCGCATTAGCTGCAACATCTTCCATCGGGCTTGGTAATTTTTGCGGATATCAGAAGTATTGGTTTCTGGCAATGCAGTCAGTGAATCACCAATCAGAAAGTGGCCAGAGGATAGGTAAGTTAGGTCAAAAGGATCGGAGGAGACAGGGGTCAAAGCACTGGAATTAATGCAAGCCTCTATTTGGACAACAATGGTGCACAGGTCTTCGAATGTTAAAGCTAAGAGTTACTTACTTATCCTTTTGAATTGAAATTTAAAAATCTTAATATGAGACACCCATAGCCCACCAAAATTGAGAGCGTTAGGGGGAATAAAGCTCTATTTAATGTGCTCTGCAGGCAAAGAATTAGTAATAGTTGTGTTTGCGAGAGGAGATTGTATAAGTTTGGCTAATTTATTTTTGGCACCGACAAAGTTAGTTCCGTTATCAGAATAAATTTCTGAACATTTGCCTCGTCTGGCCATAAATCTTTTGAGGGCAGCTATGAAACTCTCAGTAGTGCAATCTCCTACTATCGGGTTGTCCGGAAAATAATGCAGGATTTTAAGTTTTCATTAAAAAAAATCTATATAAAATATTCTGTTTACGTCAACACTTATTAATCCTCTTCCAAATGATATTGTTTGTTTACCTCTGTAGCATTCCGCTACTTGGAAATAATTCAGTCATCCTTATAATGTCAAAGCGAGAATTTCGTACGATTTTCTTTTACGAGTTTAAACTCGGCCGAAGCGGAGCCCAAACGGCTAGAAACATTAACCAAGTCTGGGGCGAGGGTTGTGTTAATGAGTGCACTGTGCAAAGGTGGTTTAAAAAATTTCGGGAGGGAGATTTCAGCCTTGAAGATGAAGAAGGTCGTGGAAGGCCTTCCTCTCTTAATGATGATGTTCTGCGATCAGTGGTGGAAGAAAACCCCAAAACAACTGTTCGAGAACTTGCAGAGCAACTCAAAGTCAGTAAAACGACCGTCGCTGACCACCTCAAGGCGATTGGAAAAGTGAAAAAACTCGAAAATTGGGTTCCACACTCATTAAACGATCGCCAAAAAAATCAGCGCTTTGATGTTTGTGCATCACTTCTTTGTCGAAACAAAAATGACCCATTTCTGGCCAGAATTGTTACATGTGACGAAAAGTGGATTCTCTACGATAACACTAGACGTTCTGGACAGTGGCTCGACAAAGGAGAAGCTCCAATACATTTTCCAAAGCCCCCAACTCATCAAAAAAAGGTAATGGTTACGGTATGGTGGGCTTCATTTGGTTTAATACACTACAGCTTATTAAATCCTGGCGAAACCATCAATGCTGAATCATACTGTAACCAAATTAATACCATGCATCAGAAATTGGCAGTAATGAAGCCCTCTTTGGTCAATCGGAAAGGGCCCATTTTGTTGCATGACAACGCTCGACCACATGTGTCACGTGTAACGTCACAAAAATTATTGGAGCTTGGCTATGAAACTTTGCCTCACCCACCCTACTCTCCGGACCTCTCGCCTACTGACTACCATTTTTTTAGACACCTGGACCACTACTTACAACACATAATATTCAAAAATCAAACGGAACTGGAAAATGCATTTATTGACTTTATCAATTCTAAAAATTCTGAATTCTACTCAGACGGAATTAATAAGTTACCAACACGTTGGGAGAAATGTATTGAGAGTATGGGAAATTATTTTGATTAAAGAACATTGCTTTAAAGTAACTAGTTTCTTTTTTTTTGTTTAATACCAAAATCCTGCATTATTTTCCGGACAACCCAATACTTCCAAATGGACTGCAGTAGATAAGTATATATGAACAAGGCTACGAAAGCTTTAGTGACAATTACCTTCCTAGACTTAGAATAACGGAGAACGAATGGACCGCAGTAGTCAACTCCTGTTTTGTAAAATGAACGACACACCTCCACTCTAGTCTTAGGTAAGGAACCCATTAATGGTGTAAAGGTCCTTGGTTTTACTTTGAAGCAAATTGTGCATTGACGGGTTATTTTTCTGGCTCAGTTTCGGCCATTCAGAGGCAAGTATCTTTGTCTAATGCAGGCCAACAATGCTTGTGGCCCAAGTGTAAATTATTTTCGTGCTCGTACTGAACCATTAACTCAACTATCTTGTTCCTGTCAGGAAGCAGTATCGGGTGCTTAACACTGTATGAATAATCGGAGTTGTCAAGCTTTCCCCCTACTCGCATCAAACCATTCTCATGAACAAAACGGTTTCAAGGTCGAAGCCGTCTCTTTGCGTTAACGTAACCTAAATTATTCAAATCGTGCCGCTCTTGAGAAAAAAGTACCATTTGCACCAATTTTACGATGGGCAGTTCAGACTCGTGCATCTTTTCAGCTGATATGGATATCAAGATTTGGAAATTATTTTTCTTTTCTTTGTGCTTTGATAAACCTACACATAAAGTCGATAACCTGTTTTAGCTTAAGGAAACTACTAAACTTATAAAATGCCTCTAAGCTCACATTATAGGAAGTGGCTAAACAGGAAATGGTGGAATGATCGGGTAAAGTTGCAGGATTTTCACTTCTCCTAACATGTTTCCAGCATTCAGGCTTAGAGGAGGAATGTATCTGCGATATACGATTGGCAACAAATGTTTTCCAGTGGCTGCTGGCTGAATTGGTCCATCCTAAGACAGTAGAATCTGTCCAATAGATGGTGGGGTCTATCTTGATTCGGAGAGCTTGGGTTACCTGCTGCGTTAAGTTAGCGACCAACGTGGCCCCGCACAGTTCCAATCTTGGAAGCGATATTTTTTTAGAGGAGCCACTCGGCTCTTGGATGACAAAGGACTCAAAGTGACTTTATCACCATAAGTGACTCTTATATAAACGCAAGACCCATAGGCAAGCTCCGAGGCATCAACAAATGTATTGATTTATATATGTAAAAAGGCTCATACTCATCTAGAAACTTAGGCATGATGCACCTGGGTATTTATTGCATATTTAGTGCAATTCAGCAAGACTAGACTTATATGCATTCCATTCTCTCGGAAAGTCGTAGGGAGCTCTTTGTCCCAATCCAATTCTAATTGCCAAAGTTTGTGGATAATAAGCTTTGCCGTTATGACAAAAAGAGAAATTGAGAGGATCAAATATTTGCGCTATTCAGACAAATGTGATCTCTTAGAGTAAACACTAGAGCGACAAGGTTTCGTTTTATACGAATAAACAAAATAATCGGATTTGGGTATCCAGGCTAGTCCTAGTCTTAGTTAGTCCATCTATGATAGGAATTGAGTCAGTGCTTTCTTTATGTTACTTAGGAATCGATATTGTGCTGTTGGATTTCCATTTTCTCAGATTGAAATCGCCGATTCGAGGAAAGACTCAAAAATTGGGACAACTGTTCACGAATCATAATACCTTCTTTCAGAGAATCACATACGGTAATCAAATTGTCATCGTAAAAATCAGAACGCAACAGTATTGAGGCAGTAGGAAATCTTTCAGCGTAATCATCAGCCAACTGATGAAGAGTTCTAGGAGCTAGATAAGAAGCACAAGCAGTACCGTACGTGACAGTGAGCAATTTGTATGCTTTCAATTCTAGGCTCTCTCCATAGAATTAAAAGAAGGCCAGCATCCTCGGGCTGCAAGTAAATTTGACGATACATTTTTTTAATGTCTGCGATTAAAGCGTATTTTTTGGATAGGAAGCGTATCGGGTTGGAATAAAGCGTGTCTTGAATGGTAGGTCCAATCACGAAAATATCATTTAATGATTTTCCCGAGGTAGTCTTCTCGGAAGCGTTGAAGACAGCTCTTAATTTAGTTGTTCTCGATTCTTCTTTTATTACAGGATGATGAGGTAAAAAATATTCAACTGCTGACAAATAAGTATGCAACTTCATGTGGCCCAGAGAGATGTAGTCATGAATAAATTTCTTATCTTCCAAAAGTCTATGATTTTTGGAGAAACGTCTTTCCTGTGTGTAGAAACAGTGGAGTGCTGTTTGCTTAGAATCACCCAGCACAGTTGGCGATTCCTTGGTAGGCAATCTAACGTAATATCGACCTGATTTATCCCTTTTCACATGTTTCTGGTAATGTGCCCTTCGCATAACTCTTCTCGGGTTCTCAATAAGGATTGTGAAATTCTTCTATTTTCCAAAAAAAATTTATTTGCACAGACAATTCTAAGGGATCGGATTGTTGCATTGTTAAGTGACAAGTTAGGCTTTCTAAATATGATTTACCAGCTACAACCAGTCTAAAGCTGTTTTTCTAAGGGAAAGGCTGTTGGAAAGTTTTATTTGTCTAGACTGAAATAAGTCCCAAAACAGTTCAGCTCCAAAGACCATGTCTATTTCATTATCATTAAAGAATTCAGGATCAGCTAGGTTAATTAAATTGGGCATTTGTATTGATTTGCTATTGAGAAACATGGGTTGTTTATAATCAGTGAGTTTATGCAAGTTACAAAGTCAATTGAAGCTTTAAAAGCACTTGCACGGTATGTTATGATGGTTGATGCACATTTATTGGGTTGTGCACACGATGAGGCTATTCCTGATATTTTGATTTCACAAAGTTTAATTTTCAAGACGAACAGAAAAGCACTTTTGGAAGAAATTAGATTGATTTGAGATCCTGAATCTTAATAAAACTCTACATGGGAAATAATCTCCTTCAGGAGTCCATGCATTAACTATTGCGGTTGAGGGTATGATGGAATAATTAGGGTTGTTGTTTGCATAGGCTAAAACTAGGCAAATAATTGTTATTTAAATTTTATTCATTCACTAATCGATTTTCCGGTCTTTTGGTAAATTTTCTTTCAAACCATCTTATTTAAATATTTTTTAATTAAAACTCATGACTTTCTAATTTTCTTTAATTTGGCTTACATTAACTAGTAATTAATATAAATATAAAAATGTATATAGTTGGAAATAAACAACAAAATACGAGTGTCCGGTTTTTGTCTTTGAGCGTATATTGTACATAGTGCATGGTTATAATAATTTGTATTAGTTTTCCTGATGCATTCCTTTATTGTTTCATGGAGTCATCCGAAAATACAAAATACTGAAATATTGAATCGGTCAGCATTTTCTAAAATAGAAATCCACTTATGATATTCGCTAGATATGCCTCTAGTGAGGTTCACCTCATGAACCTGTTTTTCTTTTCGCCGTTGAAAGCAAGCAGATCGCTCCTGCGGCCATTACTTCCATGTCTTCCTAAGAGAGATACATTTCATGAATACTACAATGATATTCTCTGTGGAAACTGTCGCGTGGCGTATGCTTGCGTCGAACGGATGTGCACACACCACCAACATGAGACAAGGGGTCGGGTGGTGTTAGGCCTCGTTGGGTTGCGTGAGGTGTGTTGCACGCTTAGGTCGATTCATATCTACCAGCACAAGAGCGTGTCCAGCACGTAGCGTAGCAGACACGGCACAGACACTAGTATTCATACTATGTGGTCATCACATCAACAGTCACCTACAGACCAACAAACTATTCTTCAGAAAACCAATTGGCAGGATTCTTTTCACGCACGTATATTACAAATCACGTACATTTCATCACATATACTATATAATATTCTTATAATATTATTATTATTTATATTCTTATATATTATTATACATATTTTGCAAAATAAAATTTTAAAAAAAATCTTGAATATGTACTGAACGGCGATTCGGATTTTAGCCCGAATTCGGATTAGCGCAAGCTTGGTTTATCAAGACTGGAAATTATAATTAAAATTATAATGCAATTTACTATAGGTAGGCACCTAACCTATTGGAATTGCACAAATCTTGTCTGTCGACTATTCATACCAACCGCACAGACAAGAAAAGACAACCGCAGACACATGCTAGCACAAGCAAAACATTCTCGGCGACAATGCTGCCCGGTGCTGGTACGTGTCTGCACTGACAAACGTTCGCTAAGTATGAACGTTCCTATATGTTTTGTATGTAATGTTTTTTGTGTCTGCCACGCTACGTGCTGGACACGCTCTGTGCTGGTAGATATGAATCGACCTTAATAGTTGAAATACCTTTGCAGTTTGCATCCTCTCAAACGTTACACAACCGAATTGTTATTTTAAAATAGTTTTAGTTTTATGGATCTAGCAAGTTATGAAATTATCGAATCACCGTTTACCACATGATTATACGTAAAAGAAAAACAAAAATACACACAAATGTAACTATTATATTTTTTCAGGCGGGTTTGGTTTTTTTGGTCGGTCAACAAACATGCTTTCTGTTCTACTCAAAAGTCCTTTAAGTGTGGTTGAGGTCGCAGAAGGCTTACCGTAAATGAAACGAGAAGGTGCGGAGACGAATTTACTTAAACACGGGAAGTTCACGGCGAAATCCTCGTTCCACAAAAGATTGTTTAAAAACATGCCAATGAGAAAAAATACGTATTCTAAGATCACGAAAAATACGTATAACGCTAGCTTTTGAGGAAGTGTAAAATGTTTTAGGAAAGGGACCGCCCACACGCCCGTGAAGTGATATATGATGTGAAGCCATATGAAATAGAAAAAAGATATAATACCTAAAGTACAAAACGCCATGCCCATGTTAGCGGATTCACCCCTGCAGCTGATAACATCACACAGTAAAATAAATAGGCAAAACGTGGATAATAAATGTTGTACCCAATACGGATAATCATTTTTCCCGAGGAGCGAGGTGTCTTTGAAAGTAAACGCCCAATAGCCGATCGTGGTGAAAGATCCAATTGGTATAGCGATAGCCGACCTGATGAACGACCTCACCGCCACCCATCTGGGCGACGCATCCATCGTATACGAACAAATGGTGATAATATCAACGGTGAGTGCGATGAGTTGATACACAGATTGGATTAAGGCATTCACCGAATTTACGTATTTTAAGGAATAACCAAATTTCGTAAAATAATCCGGCTTAGGCTTGGTGATTTCGTAGTACATGCGTAGATACAGTGCCATTGATAAGACGAGGAAACCTGTACTGTGGACAGTTGTGGATGCTATGAGAAAGTACAGTTGGTATTTCCTTTCGTACACGACCTCCATGAAGTCTGAACTCAAAATTGTTGCTCAAGTAGATTATATCAATACGACTATTTTTCATTACGCCTTGTTTTCTATCATGTCTTTTATTAACACTTCCGCTCTTTTGAATTTAAAATATTGTACTCTTCACTGATTTAAATGTGAGCTCGTTAACTCCTGGGAGAGCAAATCGATTTAAGTAACAATAAGAAACATAAAAACCAAACTAATAAATGCTTAAATAATACATTTAACGGTAATGAAACCTACCGTCTCTTTTGATTTAAGCGTAGCCAAAAAGCAGTTTTCAATTCCAATTCAAAAATAATAGTTGTAAAAAAAATTTTATAACAAGTTATGATTTATGTTAATGTACAGAAAAGCATAATTAATAGGCATTTGTTTAAATAGTAAACATATGTTTAACACATGTTTAAATAGTCTATATTCAGCGCTAATTTCAGATCTGAAAATGACCACTGTTCTCAACAGAAAAAAATTCTTTAATTGCATATTATTATATAAATTTATTACATTCCTTAACCGAATTAACTTTCATGTTCAATGATATCATTCCAGAAGTCATATAACATTCTCCATTGATTGCCATAGAACTAATTATGCCGGGGGCGTCGGTGGCCGCAACCGTTCAGGCGTTGACACGGCGCTCATCACTGTAAGGTAAAGTCCAGAGTTCGAATCCAGTGGCCCAGCATTCGAACCCGACATACTTACAAATGGGCTTTTTTCAAAAACACCGGCACCCTGAGGGTTTATATGACCTCTGCTGTTGCGAACTCTCGTAAAAAAAATGCAAATTCAGTTTTATACCAAGAACAACAAATGTGTTAAACTCGTTCAAAAATTTAGACATAATTATTCCAGATATCGTGAGATGCGGTCTGGTGTGATGTAGGTTTCAGAAAAACATTTTCTTTGTCGTGCCAACGTTTCGATCTTTTATTGAGATCATCAGATTAAACTGCGTCCAATACCCCTCCTGTACCTGGTGGCCTTCCGTAACACTTTATCCCCTTACTAACCTCATTACCTAGCCTTCCATTCCTATAATAACCCCTTCCCCAACACTAACCTCCTCCCTGTTCCTTCTCCCGGCGTCCCAGGCTTTAAGGAGGGGGAGGTGTGCCGGTTCACCTTTAGTGGGAGCCCCACTAATCGGCTAGGGCCAGGGTGGGTAGCTTCCCCTTGGCCTAAAACAAACAAGCTCCAAAAAATATGAAAAAAAAACGCCGTATATCCGGAAGGCGAAATACCGGTGACGTCGGGGGCACAGGCCACCCTCGGCGTTATTCACTCGGGCCCCGTTGGAGTTGGTGGAGAGAGCAGCGCCACCCAACGTATGGATACTGCTAGGAACGGAAAAGGTAACACCGAATTAGTGAGGACACTGCAGCCATTTGAGCCGGAGTCCAAAAAAAAGGAAAAGAATTAGAAAAGAAAAGAGCGGAAGCGATAATGAAGACCAGATGACAAAGAATTTCACAAGATACTGGATCATGGAAAAAAAAGAGGGGGATTTTAAAGATGACTCCCCCATCCAGATCTGCCGTGTAGTCAACCAACAAATGGGAAAAGTTAAAAATCTAAAGAAATTGTCATCTGGAATCCTGAGTATAGAGGTTACTGACTCTCTGCAGGCCAAAATGGTCATGGAGACTAAACACCTCGGCGCAACCCCTGTTAAAACCTCCCCCCACAGAAAGCTGAATTCCTCCCAGGGCGTAATCTCAGCACGAGATTTACTAATATGCTCTGAGGAGGAAATCAAAGAAGAACTGTCAAGCCAGGGGGTGATTGAAGTAAAAAGAATAAAACGAAAAACGGACAGGGGTCTCATAAATACAGCGTCTCTCATATTAACATTTGATAGACCAGAGATGCCGAGAGAAGTACGGGCTATATACCAAAGATTCCTGATCCGTCCATTTGTACCGGCACCAATGAGATGCTTCAAATGCTTAAAGTTTGGCCACACAGCACTTCGATGTAGAAGCCAGAACACGATTTGCTCGTGTGGCGTGCCGGTGCACGAAGGACGGCCATGTGTAGATCCGCCGAGGTGTGTAAATTGTGATGGGCCGCACCATGCAAGGTCCAGTGCGTGCCAAATACTAAAAGAGGAAAGAGAAATACAGAAGTTAAAGGCAGAAAAAGGCATGAGTCATGTCGAAGCAAGAGCTCTAGTCCGCAGCTCAGCGTTTTCACGGCCAAATATGAGCTATGCGAGGGCTGCCGGACAGTCGGCACCAAAAAAAGGTTCGACCGTGGAGATTGCCGTCCAAACGGAGCCATCCCCACCAATATACACCTTCCGGGGTTCCACTGGTGCCCCTCCCCGACCTAAAGACGGGGTAAAACCAGTGGAGGGTGTTACGGCACCCCCAAACCTTCCCGCAAAATTGGAGGGAGGAACAGATAAACCTCCGCCAATGAGCGGAGGTAATAAAACGGAAGGTCCGACGGCCTCGCCGTCGACTATCCCTCCACCAATAATGACCCCTGGAGACATGTCGGGTCCCTCGTCTCTCCCCCCCGAGCGGATGCCTCCCGGAGTAAATCCGGAGGACGTCAAAAAGCTTGGGGAGTGGGAGTTGAGGGACGCCGGGACCGAGTCGACTACCTCGGTCGACTCGGAAGATTTCCAGGAGGTTAAAAAGAAAAACAAGAAAGGATGGCCCAAGGGAAAACCCCGCAAGCCACCTAAACAAGCAACAGCAGAAGAACAATCAATAGAGACATGACTCATGCCATAGACCAACCAGTTACAATAATTTGTACTTTTAACAATAATGATGAACGAAAACATTTTGCAATGGAACGTGAGAGGGCTAAAAAATAATGAAGAAGGGATTACAACGAATAATTAGATATAAACAACTAATGGTAATAGCCCTACAGGAAACCCATCTTCTACCCGGGAAGAAATATCACCTCCGGGGTTTTTCCTGCGTAAGCAGGGAAATCCATCCC